TTCTGGTCTATGTTGCTTTTAGGCTCTCTCTTTGCTTAGAGGACCCCTTTCAAGATTTCTTGTAGGGCTGGTTTCGTGTTTGCGAATTCCTTTAGTGTGTGTTTGTCCTGGAAGCTTTTGATCTCTCCTTCTATTTTCAATGACAGCCTAGCTGGATATAGTATTCTTGGCTGCATATTTTTCTCATTTAGTGCTCTGAATATATCCTGCCAGTCCTTTCTGGCCTGCCAGGTCTCTGTGGATAGGTCTGTTACCAATCTAATGTTTCTACCCTTGTAGGTTACATATCTGTTCTCCCGAGCTGCTTTCAGGATTTTCTCTTTGTCTCTGAGATTCGTAAGTTTTACTATTAGATGTTGGGGTGTTGACCTATTTTTATTAATTTTGAGAGGGGTTCTCTGTGCCTTCTGGATTTTGATGCCTGTTTCCTTCCCCAAATTAGAGAAATTCTCTGCTATAATTTGCTCCATTATACCTTCTGCCCCCCTCTCTCTTTCTTCTTCTGGGATCCCAATTATTCTAATGTTGTTTCGTCTTATGGTATTGCTTATCTCTTCAATTCTGCCCTCGTGATCCAGTAGTTGTTTATCTCTCTTTTTCTGTTTCTTTATTTTCCATCATTTGGTCTTCTATACCACTGATTCTCTCTTCTGACTCATTTATCCTAGCAGTTAGCGCCCCCATATTTGATTGTACCTCATTAATAGCCTTTTTGATTTCTACTTGGTTAGATTTTAGTTCTTTTACTTCTCCAGAAAGGGTTTCTCTAATAACTTCCATGCTTTTTTCAAGCCTAGCTAGTATCTTTAAAGTGATGATTTCTGAACTCTAGATCTGACATCGTACTAATGTCCGTATTGAGTAGGTCCCTGGCAGTCGGTACTACCTCTTGTTCTTTTTGTTGAGGTGATTTTTTCCGTCTTGTCATTTTGTCCAGAGGAGAATAGATTAATGAGAGAACAAAATGCTAACAGGGTAACAACGTTCCCAGAAAATATACTCTAAACAAATCCGAAAAGACCTGAAGCAGTGGGAAAAGAAAGGGAAAGAGAGAAAAAAGAAAAAAAAAAAAAGATAAAAACAAACAAAAACAGAACAAAACAAAAAAAACAGAATGTGATCAAATATGATCAGTCTGGTATATACATCAGTGCCACACACTAGATTTTGGGTGTATTTTGGTCTGTTAGAAGAAAGTGCCTCCCAAAATTTTAAAGAAAGAAAAACTTATATATGTACAATGAGGGTTGATATGATGAAGGGATGGAATATGACTGTAAAAATGGAAATTATAAAAAATTTTATAAAAGGAATTGATAAGAAACTGTTTGAAAAAAGAAAGAAGAGGATTTAAAAAAAAAGGGAGAGAATGTGATCAGGCAGAGGAGTAGGAAAAAAACCATACACTAGACATTTAGGGTATATTTTGATCTGTTAGAAGAAACTATCTCAAAATTTTAAAGAGAGAACAACTTATATATATATGCCAAAAATACGGGTAACTACTATGAAGGGATAGAATATGACTCTAAAAATGAAAAATAAAAATGAAAAATAAAAAAAATTTTTTAAAAAGGGGACTGATAAGATGTTGGTTGAGAAAGGGAAAAAGAAAAATTCAAAAAAAAAAAAAGACAGGTAAAAAAAAAAATTAACTTTGAAAGACTAAAGAATCATGGGAAAAAAAGCCATGGATTCTATATGCAGTATTCCCCTAGCACTGGAGTTCTGCCGTTCTCATTGATCAGTAAACTTGGTCTTGGCTGGCTGTTCTCGCTGATCTTCTGGGGGAGGGGCCTGTTGCCGTGGTTCCCAAATGTCTTTGCTGGAGGCAGAATTGCCCCGCCCTTGCCCAGTCCAGGCTAAGTAATCTGCTCGGGTTGCTCTCCGGAGCTTTTGTTCCCTGCGAGCTTTCCGTACAGCTTTGGAGGCAGAGAGTGAAAATGGCGGCCTCCCAATCTCCGCCCCGGAGGAGCTGAGAACTCGGGCCCCGCTCCTCAGTGAGCCCCCAGAGAAAAGCTGTCAGTCACTCCCGTCTCCCTGGTCTCCAGCCCACTCCGTGCTCACCAGGCCTGTGACCGAGCGTTTCTATCTCTGGCACCCAACCCAGTGTGGAGTCTCCAAACCCAGCAGATCCCTGCGGTGCACTCCCACGCCGCTCCTCCCGGGGGAAGAAGGTGAATCTCCCTGGATCTGCCGCTTGTTGGGTCCCTGCTCGAGGAGCAGGGGCCCGACTGTGGTCCAGATTATGGTCTATGGCAACCCCGAGCTGAGAGCCCGCGCCTCGGCTCCGTCTCTGCAGCCGGCTTCCCCGCTCCGATACCTGGGAGCTCTGTCGCACTCAGGCACCCCCGGTATTTCTATGACCCCGAGGGTCCTGAGACCACACTGTCCCGCGAGGGTTCCACCCCTCGCTTAGCCACCGGAGTGATGTCCCTCAGCGGAGCCGACTTCTAAAAGTTCCGATTGTGTGCTCCGTGGTTCTATCACTTGCCAGAAGCGGCCGACGGAGGACCCTCCCCCGCTGTCTATCCTCCCGAATATCACCTCGGATTCACTTCTCCGCACGTCCTACCTTCCAGAAAGTGGTCGCTTTTCTGTTCAGAGAGTTGTTGCTCTTCTTTTCTTCGATCTCCTGTTGAGTTCGTAGGTGTTCAGAATGGCTTGACCCCTATTCAGCTGAATTCCTGAGAGGAGATGAAATCCAGGTCTCCTACTCCTCTGCCATCTTTGATATTTCATTTTTAAATGTAATTTATTTGGCTCAAAAATCCCCCTTTCTGGAACCCTCCTACACTGTTGGTGGGAATGCAAGCTGGTGCAGCCACTCTGGAAAACAGTATGGAGGTTCCTCAAAGAGTTGAAAATAGAGCTACCGTATGATCCAGCCATTACACTACTGGGTATTTACCCCAAAGATACAAACGTAGGGATCCGAAGGGGTACGTGCACCCCAATGTTTATAGCAGCAATGTCCACAATAGCCAAACTGTGGAAAGAGCCAAGATGTCCATCGACAGATGAATGGATAAAGAAGATGTGGTATATATATATATATATATATATATATACACACATACACAATGGAATATTCTGCAGCCATCAAAAGGAATGAGATCTTGCATTTGCAATGACGTGGATGGAACTGGAGGGTGTTATGCTGAGTGAAATAAGTCAAACAGAGAAAGACATGTATCATATGACCTCACTGATATGAGGAGTTCTTAATCTCAGGAAACAAACTGAGGGTTGCTGGAGTGGTGGGGGGTGAGAGGGATGGGGTGGCTGGGTGACAGACATTGGGGAGGGTATGTGCTATGGTGAGCACTGTGAATTGTGCAAGACTGTTGAATCACATATCTGTACCTCAAACAAATAATACAATGTATGTTAAAAAAAAAAAGAAAAAGAGGAAGATAGCAGGAGGGGAAGAATGAAGGGGGGGAAATCGGAGGGGTGGACGAACCATGAGAGACGATGGACTCTGAAAAACAAACTGAGGGCTCTAGAGGGGAGGGGGGTGGGAGGATGGGTTAGCCTGGTGATGGGTATTGAGGAGGGCACGTTCTGCATGGAGCAGTGGGTGTTATGCACAAACAATGAATCATGGAACACTACATCAAAAACTGATGATGTAATGTATGGTGATTAATATAACAATAAAAAATTTAAAACAAAATCCTCCTTTCTCCCCTACCCCAGACAGTTTGGTTATTCACTGGTAAAAATGAATCCTCAAAGGAATCACTAGCCAACCAATTCCTCAAATAGCCAAACGGTAATCAGTTAGGACACCCTAGTTGTATTATTATATAGGAAATGTTGGTCTAGAGAAGTCTGGAAGATGGCAGCAACAAATTCCCACATAAAAATAGAGGAACTACATAGAAAAGCCAAAATCCAATGACAACATTTGCAACAAAACAGCGTGAAAACCCAAAATATAAGCAAATGGGGACAAACAACCACCAGCCACAAGACCTACATGTTATAGGCGTCTGTGTGGAAGAAAGAAAAGAAAAACAATGGGGCCAGCAGCTGATGGGCCCCAAAATAGCCCACAGTTGTTCAATGGTAAGTATAGTGGGCCAATTTAAGAACCACAGCTCAGACAGGTTTCACTGTGTCCAATGATGAGCGAGTCAAAGTATCTATAGTAAAGATTTAAAGAGCCCCACACTGGGAAGAATCAGCGAGGAGCAGAAAAACACGCAGAATAACATCATTTATTTCATAAATAAAAAATATAAAGTCCCTGTAATAAAAATATAAAACTCAGTACTAGGACTTGATGGGACTATAATAAATATTTAATCAACAAACAAACCACTGTCATCTGTGATTACAGGTGCACCTAAGGTCCTGATACAACACAGCAAAAACTTTCAATTTTTTTCTTACTATGACCTACAGAGAAATAGATATACATGACACAGTATACAGATACGTATATGAAAACAATGTTCTGAAATGATGTTTATTTGCCCTTATTACCAAGCACCTCAATTTTTCTATTCTAGTCTTTTTTTTTTTTTTTTGGCAGGAAGCTGAGGTCTAAGAGGAGACTGGTCTGAATCTACAGTTTGAAAAACACTGTGTGTCTGAGCTGTGTTACTCTGGGCAAATTATTTACCCTCTTTGTGCTTCCGATTCCTCATTTATAAAATAGTAATTATATTTACGTTACAAGGTTCTTTAGAAAATTAGAGTTTATCCATGGAAAGCACCTACAATGCTGTCTGAGACACAGTGAGCACTCAATAAATGTGTGCTATTATTGTTCCCTTGCCACTGTTGTTATCTAAGGCAAAGTCTAAGAATTTGGGTCCAACATATAAGAGAGGAAAATTTCAAGTGAGATACAGTTCATATAATAAAGTGCTCTGAAAACAGACTAGGAAAGGGTATGTTGAATTCCATGTTCATAAAAAATCTCTTAGTTAATAACCAAAAACATGCTTTTTTTTTTTTTTTTTGCCATAGCTTCAAGCACTGCTTACCTATGATGTCATTTCTCATTGCTTCTGTAATTGGTATCGGTTTAGCAGCATCTGGAGATATATATTTGGTAAAAGTATTCACTGCATCTTGTTCTATACCTGCAAGGGAAGAAGGGGACAACTTCAAAATTTAAAGAGCAACTTGGACGAGTAATGCACTAGAATCATGAAGAGCACAGCTGTTTGTGGTATGACCAAGCACACACACTCACACAAATACATATACGTGTATTACAAATATGTAACAACATATTTAGGACAAAACAGCCTCCAGCATGTTACATTTTCACTGTTTGGTTTGTACAACAGAGTTCTATGTGAATCCCCCCCCGCCACTCCCCATCTAAACTAATGAGCTTCATAACAGCAATTACTTCTGCATGTTCTCTTTCATTGTCTCTTCTCCAAAGTCTGAACCTGAGGGACTTGCACAGCAATGTAACAGCAAGGGCTATTAAAAATAAAAAAATAATGGGGTGTCTGGGTGGCTCAGCTGGTTAAGCAACTGCCTTCGGCTCAGGTCATGATCCCAGGCTCCTGGGATCGAGCCCCGCATCGGGCTCCCTGCTCGGTGGGAAGCCTGCTTCTCCTTCTCCCACTCCCCCCTGCTTGTGTTCCCTCTCTCGCTGTCTCTCTCTCTCTGTCAATTAAATAAATAAAATCTTAAAAAAATATATTTATAAACCTACACTTAAAATATTTTACAAAATTATTTCAGGTTTATGAATAAATCTGTTTAACTTTCAACAACCTTAGAAGGTTAAAACAATGGATCTCAAACTTTTTAGTTTCAGGACTTCTTTGCAACCCTAAATTACTGAGGAACCTAAAGAACTTTTGTTAATGGGAGTTTTATCTATAGACATTAAGGTATTAGAAATAAAAAAAACAAGAAAAATTACTGACTCAAAGTTAACAATACTAAATCTTTTATAAGTTAAATACATTTTTTTATGGAAAAAAACTATTTTCCAAGCTGAAAAAAATTACTGAGGGCATTATTTTCCATTTTTGCAACACTCTGTCTTGATACGAAACTGCTATGTTTTCATATCTGCTTTGACATTCAATCTGCTGTGCTATTTTATGTTGGCTGAAGTCTATTTTGATAGTGATATAATAAATATATGTATATATATATTTACACACATACATACATATAGTCTTCATCCTTGCTGCTGGCAGAGAGCTTTTCTAAAACCCCTGGAATTTCCTGAGTGGGAGGGGTGAGAGAAGCGTATTTTGTTATTCATAATAAGCCTCTTTCAACCATAGGGAAGTTTATGGTTGAGGTGACTTGCAGAATGGGGCTGGCTGCCAGAGGAACCAACCATGTGATTATAGCATTGGAACTTTCAGCCCCACTTCCCATCCTCCAGGGAGGGTAGAAGGGCTGGGGATCATCAAGTTAATCACCAATGGCCAATAATTTAACCAATCACGCCCACGTTATAGAACCATAAAACCCCTGAATGAAGTGGTTCAGAGACCTTCTGGGTTGGTGAATGCATCCATTTGCTGGAAGGGTGGCACATCCCAACCCCACAAAGACAGGGGCTCCGGCACTTGGGATCCTTCTTTATTTTTTAAATCCGTGGGTTTTTTTAAATGTTATTTCAGCTTTTTTTTTTAAAGATTTTATTTATTTATTTGACAGAGACACAGCGAGAGAGGGAACACAAGCAGGGGGAGTGGGAGAGGGAGAAGCAGGCTTCCCGCCGAGCAGGGAGCCCGATGTGGGACTTGATCCCAGGAGCCTGGGATCATGACCTGAGCCGAAGGCAGACACTTAACAACTGAACCACCCAGGCATCCTTGGGATCCTTCTTGACCTTGCCCTCTGTACCTCTTCACTTGGTGGTTCATCTGTATGCTTTATAATGTACTTTATAATAAACCAGTAAAGGGTTCCCTAGGTTCTGTGAGCTATTATAAAAGATTACTGAATATGAGGAGAGGTTGTGGAAACCTTGGATTTATACAGCTGGTTGGCCAGAAGTATCGGTGATAACTTGAACCTTGCAGCTGGCATTTGAAATGGGGGCAATCTTGTGGGACTGAGCCCTTGACCTGTGAGGTCGGCACTACCTCTGGGTAGTTAGTGCTGGAATGAATTAAACTGTAGGACCCCACAGAGAACTGGAGAATTGCTTGGTGTGGAAAACCCACACATGTCAGAAGTGTTGTGAATGGAGAAATGGTTTTCTTTTATCTATATTAAGAAAATCTGGCCTCAGACATGCAGAGATGGGAAAAGGGGTATTTTAACAGCTTTTTGAAATCACTGTGAAGATATTCTTCTTTGATACTACACCAAAACTTGACAAGTGGTAGTTTCTTAAAGGTTAGTTAGAATGTGGAAGTGCAAACCAGATCAGTGAACTTGTCTGTTACATTAAAATCCAATGGTCTATCTTCCATGGTAAGTAGATCTTTTTACTCATGATTTTATGACATCATATATTTTTTAAATTTTGGAAAATATTGGTTCACTGGCTTATGCAGGCCTTCCAAATGTTGATACACTGCATCATATAATGTAAAAAAAGAAATCACATTAATATCACCAATCACCTTATCAGAACACTATTTATTTTTTTAAGATTTTATTTATTTATTTGAAGAGAGAGACACAGCGAGAGAGGGAACACAAGCAGGGGGAGTAGCAGAGGGAGAAGCAGGCCTCCCGCCGAGCGGGGAGCCCAATGCGGGGCTCGATCCCAGGACCCTGGGATCATGACCTGAGCCGAACGCAGACGCTTAATGACTGAGCCACCCAGGCGCCCCATCAGAACACTCTTTAAAGCTGCCAAAGCAAAGGGTGGTGAATACAAGTTTCCCAAAATTCTAATTTTCACTTGAAAAGCTTACATTTTACCAAGGGCAATAAATACTGTCGGCTGTTTTCCATGAAATGACAAGCTCACTTCATTCATTTCCAAGAAGACACCTGGCAAATACCCATGTCTGTGCAACCACAGTCATTCTTTGGAGTAAAAATGGTATTCCATTTAAAAAGCAGCTAATTGAGGGGCAGCTGGGTGGTTCAGTCAGCTGAGTGTCTGACTCTTGGTTTCAGCTCAGATCATGATCTCAGGGTTGTGAGATCAAACCCCGTGTCAGACTCTGCACTCAGCATGGAATCTGCTTCAGATTCTCTCTCCCTCTCCCTCCCGTTCGCACGCTCTCTCTCAAATAAATAAATAAAATCTTCAAAAAAAAGCAGCTAATTGAGTTCACAAAAGCAGTCAAATACACATGTACTTTTCCTTAGAATAAGTAGTATATTTGAGTATGCAGAAGTCTGCATACTTCCCATTTCATCACACATCTTACAAAACCACATACCCATGCTATGAGCACTGGGTGTTGTATGGAAGTGTTGTACATCTGAAAATAATATTACATTGTATGTTAACTAAGTGGACTTTATTATTATTGCTTTTTAAATATTTTATTCATTTATTTGACAGAGAGAGAGTACAAGCAGGGGGAGTGGCAGGAAGAGGGAGAAACAGGCTCCTGCTGAGCAGAGAGCCCGACGTGGGGCTCGATCTCAGGACCCCGAGATCATGACCTGAGCCGAAGGCAGACACTTAACTGACTGAGCCACCCATGTGCCTGACAAACTGGACTTTAAATAAGAAAATTAAAAATAAAATAAAATAAAATTTGTATCTTAAAAAAAAAAACAACCCATATACCCAAGGGTTTAGATTTAACAAAATTAATTATCTACTTCCCCAAAGACAGCTTTAAGTAAAACTGGCACTTAGTTTTACTGAAGTATGTAGCAGCACAAAATGACTGTTAGTACAATTTGGCCCAGTGCCAGCAGGTTTTCCCAGTTGCCTTTGCCCCATCATTACAAATGTCCACACAGTGAAAAAGACAAATACCATCTGAGAATTATTATGTAAACAGTTTTGACTAAATGGACCCTGTTGAAAAAAATCTCTAGGGACCCTCTATGGGTGTGCAAACCATACTTTGAGAACCCCTGGGTTAACAGAACAGTTGTGGGTTTTTTTAAGAATAGATTATTATCCCTATTTTTACAGGAAAAAAACCCACCTTATGTATAAAAAACTAAAATGCTCTATTTGAGTTAAAGTGCTGGGGTGAGGGTGGGGCCAGGGAGAAGCAAAAACATAGTTTTTGTATGTGACTGAAGTTGTTATCAGCTTAACATAGATCGCTGTAAGATCTTTTATGTAAGTCCCATGGTGACCACAATGAAAATACTTTTGGAAGATATGCAAAAGAATGAGAAAGAAATCAAAGCATGTCACTACATAAAAACAAGGGAACACAAAGGAAGACAGCAAGAGAGGAAGAGAACGAAAAAGACCTAAAAGTCACTCAGAAAAATAATGAACAAGATGGCAACGGTAAATCCTACCCTATCAATAAATACTTTAAATGGAAATGGATTCAGGGGCACCTGGGTGGCTCAGACGGTTAAGCGTCTGCCTTCGGCTCGGGTCATGATCTCAGGGTCCTGGGATCGAGCCCCGCATCAGGCTCCCTGCTCAGCGGGGAGCTTGCTTCTCCCTCTGCCTCTACCTTGGAGCGTTGGTGGTATAGTTAGCATAGTCGCCTTCCTCTGCCTCTACCTGCTGCTTCCTCTGCTTGTGCTTGCTCTCTCTGTCAAAAATAAATAAAATAAAAATAAAATAAAATAAACTACCGTGGAACTTCTGGATGTTCCCAGTGATGTACATATTAAAAAAAAAAGAAAAAGAAAAAGAAATGTAAATGGATTCAATTCCCCAAAAGACATAGAGCAGCTGAATGTATTTTACAAAAAATTTAAAAATAAACCAAGATCCCACTGCATGCTGTTACAACAGACTCAATTTAGATTTAAGGACAAACATAGGCTGAAAGTGAAGGAATGGAAAAAGATATTCCAGGTAAATAGTAACCAAAAGAGAGCAGGGGGAAGGGGACTAACCTTGTATCAGACAAAACAGACTAAGTCAAAAACTGTCACAAGAGACAATGATAAAAGGGTCAATACACCAAGAAGATATAACAATGATAAATATATATGTACCCAACATCAGAGCATCTAAATATATAAAGCAACCACTGAC